CCCTACTCTATTATTTGTTCACCACATAGGGCAACAACACAGCAGCCACGGGAGAGACTTTGAGAGAAGGAAAAAAAAGAAGAAGTTGCAATCAAAGAACTTTTGGGTGTGTGGTAGGGTTCTAACTTTATTCTTTATTTTATATTTGTTCTTTGTCCTTATTCTATTTTATGATTTAATTCATTGATGGGGAGGTTGTAGGTGTATGTAATTTGTGTATATATATACTATTAAGAAATCTGAGGAGTTAAATTCATGTATAATGAATGATGTAATTCTTAGTCCAAAAATTATGTACAGAATCACAAACTTTAAAAATCAAGAAACCATATCAAATGAATGAATTTTGAACTGAAAATTTTATAGTAGATTAATTACATATTGAATTGCACATCCGAATTTTCTCATAATTTTTGGGAGTCAAAATCCATATAAACTGATGTATTCAAATCTGTCCAGAAAACTGGTTTTAAACAGTAAGTTCGGGAGTGTTGTTCTCTTTGGGTATAAATCCAAAAATTAACAAATCAGCATCATTAGAACCGGATATGAGTCTAGTTTCGTACGTTTTTGGCCTTGCATTGATTGCTCATGTATACTTAGAGAACCATTAATTTCTTTAAAGTGCTGCAGAAAACAACCTGTTTAGATATAATTAATTGTAGATAATTATTTTGATAAGCAAATCAAGTGAAACCATTTGGGTTTGAAACTTAGGATATATTAGTTGATATCCGGAGGGTTTTAGAATTTTTTGAACAAAGTGGAGTGGGTTTTTTAATTTTAAAAGTTAGCGAATAGATTGGGAAAACTAGTTTAAAATTTTGTTTAATCTTAAAGTTACTTTTAATTAAGTTTAGATTTGAACCCATGTCTTGGGTGATTTTAGACCTTGAAGAACATGAACTTAGGTAGTATTTAAGAGTAATGGTGAGTTGGGTTGAGTCGTGTTAGTGCGCTTTAGTTTGGGGTTACTTAGTTCTTATTCTTTAGTATTTTTAAATTAGTAGTGACGTGTAATTTTCATACTTGGTTCAGGGCACTAGTTGGACTTTCATACTCTATTCGAGGATTATATTATTTTGTTTTCAGGTGAGTAGTTGCACGCTATATATTTTTATAAATCTTCCCCTACCCTGAACTGTTGAAAAATTAAATTGTGGTTTCAGAACTAAACTGTTTTCATAAATTATTATATTATCAATGGAATCAAATTATTTCTGGTACATGTGTGAACTTGGCATACTATAAACTGATGTGTATTGATTATTGGGACCATTTGTATATTTTAGTCCAGGGAAATTATTCCATTCTGTGTGGTGTAAGGAAAAGACCTAGGTTAGGCTAGGTGACTTTCAATCAGATTGTCTTAGAGAAAAGGCCCGGGTTGCCACCCTGAGGATGACTCTTAGTTCGATATTGGATCCAACGGGGCTTATAGCCTTGAGAACTGTGTGGCATGTTACTTGTTATTTCTTGGTACCTAGAAAATTATTGGTATTCATGTTGTAATATGTTTTAAGTGGAAAATGTCATTTATCATGTTCTTGAGAGACATGAGTATTTTAACTAATGAATTGCGGAACCTTCTTTTTGAAACAGATTCTCTTTACCAAACTATATGCTAATTTAGTTTCTGTGATATATGTCTTATTTTGGAATTGATCCATGTTTTCAAAACTGTATATACTATCCATGTTGCTACTAACTGAGCTATCAGCTGACTTAGTTGTTTACCATTTCCAAGTGTTAGAAGGACTTAAAGTGGACTAAGTTTGGATGGTATTGATTACGGTTGGTTTTGCCGTTTTTATTTGTGGCATGACACTGGATTGAGTTTTGGTTATTTATTAATGGACTATTTTATTGTTATTCAATGTGTATGGATTCGTATTTAGGCTTACGTGTGCCTTGGGCTAAGGCCCTGTGGGCCACGACCTGTCATACCTGGGTTTCGGGTGTGACAGCGATGGTGGTGATGTGGTTTAGATTAGGGTTTGAGAAGAAGATCAAGGGAGGGCTGTGGGGTGTCGTGGAGAGGTGGGGGGCGTCAAGAAGAAAGGAGAGGGGGGTATGTAACAACCCTCATTTCAACTTAGTCATACTTGCATACATTTATGCATGTCTTGTTTTGATATGTGCATTTGCAAATCTTGTCATGTTTTGCTCGAATGTTGCTTGCATGCTTTGTTCTTGCCTGGTGTGTTACCGAGGTTATCTTGAGCCTAGACACCTTCGAAACCTTTTCCACTTAGAACTATCTTGAAACCCCATCGGTTGACCTCATCTCTACCCTGGCATATTGGCTGAGATGTCACCATCTAGGCCGAGGTGCGCGTCGCCTAGGCCGAGATGTGCATCATCTAGGCTGAGATGTTAATATCTAGGCGTTCTAGATCCTTGATCCTTGCACTAGCAATTTGTTCCTGGAATGGTATGACCTAGACCGAGGTGTGGCACATCTAGGCCAAGGTATGGCACAACTTAGTCAAGTGTTGTCCATCCAAGACGATGTCCTTGCCACTTGCTTGCCGAAGTCTTGTTGTTAGCCGATGTCGCTACTTGCCAGAGTGCTCTTGCTGTTTAGCTTGTTGAATACACGCTGTCATGGTCTTGTCTAATCAGTCAGTCACCTTTTCGAGTAGAACCAACCAGCCGGTGCCACGTGTCCCAGCAGAGGGATTAAGTTAGTGACTGTCGGGGGAAACATATCATTTTGTATCAAATCTTGCCTTTTAGAGAGAGAGAAACTCTAGGAGGAAGAATGAGAAGTTTGATCAAGAGAGAGAGTGAACTTCCAAGCTTGATCGTTGGAGCTTGAACCGTTAGATTCGAGTTTTAAGGTTAGAATCGTAACCTACTCTTGTTGTTCTTATTGATCATCTAGCTGCATTGCACGATCAAACCTGTTCGGCACGTCATGCATTGCTTTAAAGTTGGTTTTAGAAAGAGAAAATGGTTTTCATGTGTTCTTGAAGAAAAGCCTCGTTTGATCCAAAAGTTTGCATTAAGGCTCATGTTTTCGTGTTCGTTTTGAAAAGATCCTTGAGTATGGGTACCCAAGTCCATGTTTTTGAATTCATAGCATGAAATCTTAGCTTTCGTAATAGCAAGTTTTGATCTTTGCATTCATCTTCCTCATGTTCATGTTCTTCATGCTCATGTTCTTCATGTTTATCAAGAGGGGAACCCAGATTTTCCCGACTTCACTTTTGAATGTGGCCATCGGGACCACACCTCGGCGAGAAGGTGTGGGACCTCGGCCAAGACCTGGTGGTTGCCCAGCATGTTTTCCCAAGATAAGAAACTGTGTTTTGTTTCGATTTGACTTAGTCTTTGAAGAGTGCCGAGGTCATTTGCGTGCATGCTAGACTTGTTTTGAGTAGTGCATTTAATAGACTTTGCCATGTGTTTGTAGGACTGGGACTTTCCTTGACCCCGACGTTTGACGAACTAGGTGAGTGGTATTTTTAATAAAACTATGTTATATGTTTGATAAAGACTTTGCTTTGCTTTGTTTTGAAAGTATTTGTTAAGCATGAATAATTGTCCCTATTTTGTATATCAAGCATGATCTTGTTTTGATGATCTTCTCAAAAGTCCCTTGTGCTGGAGGACTCTAAACTTTCGCAGCACATCTCGTTTTGAAAGTCCTTTGTGTTGGAGGACTCTAAACTTTCGCAGCACTCTCGTGTTAAAAGGCTACGAGCCTTTGTAACATAGGTCCCTTGTGCTAGAGGACTCTAAACTTTTGTAGCACCCTTGTTTGAGATGTCTCCCTTGTTTTGTCTTGTTTTGCCACTGACAGTTTACCGCATGGATATGTTTGCCGGAATGTTATCATTTGTAATATGTTGATGCTAGTAAGCATCCCTTGAAGCTTTGAAGATTTGTTAGATGGACGAGGTCCATCCCTTGTTATCTAAAGTTTTGACTTGTATTGTTTTGAAAGGACTTCGGCTATTATTCATGCGAACCCTTTTATTATTTATACCATTCACTGAGTATCCAAGCTCACCCCCTCTATATATGTGTAGGTGATGAGCAAGAAGGCGTTGACGCCTAGATGTGATTCACGAGCTTGTTTTGGATTTTTGTCATGCCGGTTTGACTTGTAATTATGTCGGCAGTCTTGAAAATCATGCTTCTCGACTTGTAATATTTGTATTTCGTACACGTCGGCTTGAGAAGCCTTTTGATCAAGATGTGTGTGTTTTGTTTGTATGTTATGTCGGAAACGAGGATGTCGGCAATCTGGCAGACTATGTTCCTTGACCTGTAGTTCGTGCATTCTGTTTGTGTCGGCTTGTGAAGCCCTTTGTTAAAATGTAAGATGTAATTGGTACTTTGCTTCATTTGTAATTAAGTTGTAACCCATATGAAGATGGTTGCTATTTCATTTGACTTATGCACAGCTCTTATGGACAAATTTGATTTGTATGTATCACTTCCATACTCGTGAGCCCCATATATTTATACTCTGTTGTGTGTGGATTTTAAAAGCTGGCCTTCGGTAATCTCGGATTACTGGCCGTCACGGCACCAAACTACTAGGGGTGGTTTGGGGTCGTGACAGGGTATTAGGGAGCACAGGGAGGGGGCAACAGTTGGTGGGGAGAGAAGGGGAGGGAAAAGAAGGGGTGGTGGAGGTGGCACTGGTGCGCTGGGTGGCTGGCCAATAGGTTGGATGGGTGCGGGTGCGGGTGCGGTCGGAATTAATTGGGGTGTTCAAAGAAAATCAACAAAATTTAAATTCGAGATTGAGGTGTCCAAAGGAAGGGGGGATCCAACCATTGTTTTGGAGTACAATTAGAGGTTCCCACTTGTCCACATATGTTGCACATAATGATGACGTTAATGGTCCTCACGTCATTGTGTGAGTGATAGCTCATTTGTGATCATACGTACTCAGATTAGTTGCAGTTATCAATGGTTAACATGTGTTCATACTTAGATCAATGCAGGTATGAACAGTTTATCCGTGTTCAATTGATACTTACTTGGGAGGGTTCTCTTGCGACTGGCAGGGGGGCAAGCATTCAACAAGACAATCATGATTAGGCTCCACAAAGTACGCAATCTGCTCAATGAAAAAATAATAATAATAAATAAATGAAAATAAATCAAATAAAATGAAAACCAAAAAGCAAAAAGAGCCATTGTGTATGTTAGACGATAATATTGCATAAATGCGATTAGAGAACATTCAAAAGCTTCTAAAGGGACCTTACCGAATATCTCTCCTGACCATTACCCACCACTCGATGCAACGTGGACCTGGATAAAATTAAGCAAGTGAACACACAGATACCCAAGTACCATAAAATTATAATCCCAACACTCAAACCACATACTAGAAAAATTGTCATTCAAGGTGGTGGCAATGAGAAATTATTATTCCGAAATTTTTTCTCTAAAGAAGGCAATGTCCCATATCGTACTTAATATTATCTCACAATAAACAACTGAAAAATAAATAATAATAATAATAATCCGACTGATTGTCATGAAGCTACAAAACCATCATTTAGGAACTTTGGCAAACGCACATTACCTGAAAATGCAGTTGCTCCAGCGCTCTAGCATATCACCAAGATTCACTATAAATGCTCTGAAAGTTAGATTTCAATCATCAAGACAGTAAGAAAATGCTGATAATATAGTAAAAGATTCATTCTACATCAAATTGTAGCAGCTAAATGTAATATATGGTCTCTTTCATCTAACCTCAGCTCATAATCACAAAAGCATGTAGAAAACTTAGACTAGCTCCAATAAAGGTGTCTAATATTGTCCAGAATATATAAAGTTTTCTTCCTTTCTATTTTTTGATAACTAAAAACTAATCCTAGGCAGTGCCCTTTGAACCAATCAAGTCTCTGAAGATTCTATTTACTAACCCTTTTAATGGTGCTACAAATTCCCACTTCTGAGGTTTAGCATCCTTATCCTTGCAAATCTGCAATAATTGAAAAGATCACAATCCCCTTTTTACAAAATATATTAGAAATACAATTCAAATTCTTAACTATATCAGTACCTGGAGACCAAAGACGTCATCAGTTGCCAAGAGTGTTATCAAACCAAAATCAGAATGTGCACCTGCTCCGTATATTCCCTTCATGGGATCAGAAACTCTACCTGAAGAATAACCAAACACTTATGTCATGATACAGGTGACATCAATTACATTAGAATTCCATGATCCTCAATTTAATTTTCACCTTCATAGTGTAGCAGACGCAAGTTTGCAATAGGCTTCCCAAGCATTTCTTGTCTATCAAAAAAGTCAACCTCGAGGTTAAGTGCAAGAGCTATGATCCTTGAAATTGCTTTTGCCACCTCACTAGCACACACATAAAAGATACATGAGGAAAATGAGACAAAAATCTATCAAAAAATCATATGAACAATGCCATATATATAAAACTAAAAGCATGAAATCATGGCCGAACAAGTCACAAGGCTTAAATGGAATGATAGGTAATTGCTATTTTTTAACAAATGAATTTCTAGTGGGAAAGGACAACAACTCCCAATAGAACAACCATATGGATTGGTTTTATACATGTCCCAATTTAACAATGGTGTTCAGAAATATACCTCTGTGGCTAAAACAATTCACTCAACCTAATTCTTTGTTATTATTCCTCAAGTTATGCAGCATATTTTATGCTAATTTGCATCACCGAAAATGTAACAAAATATAAAAGATCTTAGAGTGATTGGGAAAACATGTAAGAATTGAAGTTAAAAGTCTGGACAATATAGATTAAAAAGCAATACACCCCAAGTTTTCGTAATGAAAATATACATAAATATGAATCTTCATGGTCTTAGAATATTATTCTCATCCATCACCATAAAATTTTCATGGCAAGGGATGAGCTTGTATAATTACAATAGACAAACTCGTTAACCAAGCTTCGTAGGACCCACCAGACTGTGCCGTCAAGAGTAGATGGGATAAAGGTATGAGTTCTCTCCTGCAGTTCTTCAGTCTATGCTCTTAGCTCACATCCCTAAGCCTTTCTTTAGTATATACAGAACTTCCAATATTTTATATGAAGTTATCCTTCCCATAATGTGATATTTTCCGAGATTTATTAGTCTAATGCAATACTTTTAAATTGATAATAGGGTATTGATATTAGATAACAATGAGAAAATAATATGATGCAACATTTCTGTTTAGACACCAAAACAAGACAAGATAATTCAATTTGCTACATGAAGAGCTCTAATGTTTGATACAAAGCAGTGAATACATCTGCCAGTAGTATATGAAGTTTGTTACAAAAAGATTAAGCTTGAACAAAACTTACAGTGCCTCTCTATGATATTTCTCCATAGTTTCCCTCCATCCAGGCAAGATATCTTTCAAACGGCCAAAAAACCAAACGGGTTAATACTGATTACAAACCAATACCATGTAGAATGCTCAAATGCTTAAATCACATCAAGTTGAATTAAGCTCTAATATGTGTGTGTGTGTGTGTGTGTGAGAGAGAGAGAGAGAGAGAGAGAGACAGAGACAGAGACAGAGACAGAGACAGAGAGAGATGATTGGGACATCGCATGAATTACACATACTTTGCACTTTCTTAAGACTTGAATGGATTTGGTAACTTACCAGAAGGGGGCCAGACATTTGGTCCATATAATGGCTTTTCTATGTCAGGATCGTTTTCAGGTACTTCTATTCCAATGTAATATCCCTCCTTATAATCTCCTATATCCGTAAAATAGGATAATCAATATTTTTCTTTTTTATGAAACATGGATCTCTCAGTTATAATTAGTTTAAATTTAAACAAAAATAAATCAAGAAAAATGGATCAACTGGAAGAAGAAAAGAATGGGACAATATAAAGAACAAAACAATGTGGGTGGCATCTCAAAGTAGGAAGGCAACAACATAATTATGTAAACAAGCACATATATGAATGCATATAGGCTCAAGTTTGTTTGAGGCCTAAGGCATAAAAAACATAAATGAAGCCTTTTTAAGATTTTCATTTGAAATATATTTTTCTTTTATGTTCAAATGCAAAATTACTAATTATATTCGAGTTTTCTAGCATATCATTTGTAATTGTTATTGCGGGTAGTTCACTTATTGTTTCTTATGACTTAATCAATCTTAGGTTAAACTTTATCCATTTTAATTTTTTTTTTGGCAATGCAATTGTTATAGATAAAAAAAACAACGTCCAATTAGTACACATTAATGTGCATTTGGGAGGGGAAATTTTATAATCATGGATGCATTGGAAATTTTAGTTTTCTTTAATTATGCAATATATCAATTGAAGTGCTCCATTTAGCTTGCAAAACTTAATTTAAAACTTTCAATTCCCAAAACAAATTTGAACACCGATATCATCTTATACAAAAATTCCAAATGCAAATTTAAGACAACTATCCCTACTTTTTTAACAGTTAGTGTGATTGCAAATTTATATTTATCATATTAAACTATATAAAAGTGAGGCCTTTTATTGTGTAGGGATGTTAGGCGAAAGTCTAATTTTCCTAGCACTCAAGCCACTTCTTGACACACATGATCATACAAGCACAATATATACATATATATACACATACATGTCATGCACATACCAAGCTATACAATAGATGTCAACTTGTATTAAAAAAAGCATCATATTGATCTGATATTCACTTTTGTGCTTATTGCTAAAAAGTAGTGTGACGCTAGAAAAATGACAGCAGAACAAACCATGTATTTGATTGACAGGATCCAAAAGTTCATTGAAAAGGGGAGTGTAGCCTCGATGTTTCTTGTTTCTAAGAACCTTCATTTTCTCACTTACTGGTAGATCAAAAAAACTTTTGCTTTGGTTAAAAACCTCATCCATAAATTCCTGGCTGATTCCATGATTGATCACATAGAAAAACCCAGAATCCAAACATGCCTGTAGAAAAGAGAGGAAGCAAAGGATAAGCCAGGATATAAAAACCAATTAACAAAAAACGGTGTGTATGGGGGGGTGTGTGTGAAAAAGAGAGATTAAAATAAAACAATATGGTACTTTAGTTCAATGACTGACTCATACAAAGAAATGGTAACACAATTGAGCAACTAAATACTAACTAACCTAATGGCATTGCCTATTTTTATGGTTAAAAAAAATAAAAAATAAAAAATAAAACTAATAATGACATTGCAGCCAAAAGCTCTTGATCATCCACATTTCACTGTACATAAAATTGACTAATTTTTGTAAATGTTAAGTTTAAAAGAGAAGCATAAAAAATGACATTTTATCCTAAATTCAATTCATAAATGGGATTTCAATATTTGATTCAATAGGTTGTTCACAGTACTATTTGGGTTGGTTAAAATAAGTTTTTCTTTTTTTTCCATAGTTCAAAACCTATAAAAATTCAGAAATTTTGCTTTGCTTTCCCATGATCCAAACAAATAGTGGCATAAGAATCAATTATAGTTTATACCCCTATACTTAATATTCAATCTCACTTTCCCCTTGACCTTTTAATTGCTCCGGTCAATCCCAAGACTTTGAATCAAGTTATAATTTGGCCCCACATAAACAAGCATCATTTCAAAACGAACAGAGAACAATCACAAAAATATTCATTACACTTAGCACCCTTATATTTTTACCGCAATCTCACTTTAGTCCTTCCACTCTAGCTCTTATGATCCAAGTACGTTACTAAAATCTCACACTTTTAGATCATCAATTTGGATAGAGATTTCAAAAAAAAAAAAGTGAAATATAAATGAAATATAGTTATATTAAGTTGAACACCGCTTATAATCTGATCGTGCTTAAAGCACCAAACATCAACAATCGAACATGTTATTGGTTGGTCGAGGGGCCACCCACGTGGCATGTATTGTATGGATTGCAATTGATGGAGGAGTAGGATTCATGATTTTATATTAAATAACTAAACAATATAGGGCATAGAGGCTTGTGATTAACTTGGAATATGATCATGTGACGCTACACACCAACTAATAATTTTTCGATCCGTATATAATCAATCAATCAAAAAAACCAGATATATGAGAGAGAGAGAGAGAGAGAGAGAGAGAGAGAGAGTGTGTGTGTGTATGTACCTGTTTGAGTAAAGAAACAGAGTTATGAATGTCAGGGCTTGAAAGATCGATACAATTGAGTGCAGGGAAGTTTTTAAAATATCCAGGAGCTTCAAGAGCTTCGTTCGTCAAATTCTCCATTTCTAAAGATATGAGGTTTTGATATTTCCTTACCAATATTATCAATCAATTAAGGGTAAATTACACTCATACCCCTTTGTTTTCTTGCAATATCACTGCCACCCTCTTTTATAATTGAAATACCAATGCACTCATACATTTGAAAATAATGTAACAATTCAGTCCTTCTGTCAGTCGGTTAATTCAATGACTAAGGGAACTTCTATTTACACCCCATTAATTATCTCAAGACACACCATTACTTAATTGACACCTGAACAATTTTAAAGTTTAATCAATACACACCCCAATATATCATCTTTACCCTTGAGATGTACACACATTCCTAATTAATTTAGTACACGAGCAATGTTATAGACTCAAAATTTCATCAAATTTTTTTACAAACAACAATGATATAGAAAAACTACCCACTCTTCCACCTCCTCCATTTCATACTCCATGATCTTCCATGATCTTTCATAACTTCTTTCAACCTTCACTTCATGCTCCATGTGCTCCATCACCTTTCCAAACTTCATAACTTCTCATAACCTCCAAATGAGTAGAGGGTGCCACATGTCCTGCAATTATATAAATAATAAAATTGTAGATTTATGGTGCTAACAACTGCGAATTGGCTTGCAAAGTTGTTTGCTTCCGAAGCAAATATGTCCCTATCTTCTCATCGTTCTTTGCATACTCTCTCTCTCTCTCTCTCTCTCTCTCTCTCTCTCTCTCTCTCTCTCTCTCTTTCCAATTTTGGACCCATCTCACTTCTTCAGTCACCCAATTCAAGCATTGATAACCCAAAAATCAAGGGATTTTCATTCCAGTCTTTAATCTTATTCTTTCTTATCTGCCATTTTTCCCTTCAACACAAGCCATTCTATTCCTCATAATAACTTTTGTTGTTTCTGAGGCCAAATCCCCATTTTCTCAACCCATCCCCGTTCTCCTTCCTCGTCTTTCTCTACTCAACTAGCCGCATAAAGATCCATGTACAATCATCGCTAAAAGTATGAAATATTTTGTAAAAGAAAAATAATTTGGATCTCTAATTGCTGAGCTCTATGAGAGCTCTAAACATGTGGGTCCCATCTGCTTGTGTGTATTTTTTTTTTTTTTTTTTTTTTCTTAAGTGTATAGGCTTGTCATTACTAGAACCATGTGAAGAAAAGTCTAGCTATTATATGTTCATTGCTTATTGATTGGTTTATTTGAAAATTCCACTCTATGATGATGACATTTCACTAATTCTAATTCCATCAATTTACGTGTAGTGTACAACCAACCAAAGAAAAGTTACAAGTCTTCGAATGAACTTTCATCTTTTGTTGTTTTGGAAACTTCAACCAGACAAATCAAGTCGACTTCTTCTAGCATGAAAGGTTCATTAAAATAATAATTTTAAATGGGACTTTTTAATTTTAAAATAAATTATATTCACCTCTTCAGTTTTAATATAATTATATTGGTTTTCTAAAATTTTAATTTACATAATAATTATTTTTTTTCATCAACAATTTGTGAGTTATATAAATAAAAAAAATAATATTATCATCTCTTTTATATGAAAATGCATACTTTACGTCATTTATTTTTTATTTTTCCACTATCTGAATTAGTTTTGATCAATTTAATCTTACTAAAAGAAAGATCAATATCATTATGTTAAAAATTATAAGACTTACTATATTTTTTTTTTCAAACATCACGGAAGGATGGTGTAATTTATCCTTAATTTTAATATTGATGTAAAATATTTTATTTTAAATTTATTTTTTCTTACTTTTTAATTGGCAAAATGACTAATATATGTGTGTGTCAATTTCCGACCACACTGCCAATCAAGCACTCAGCTGGAGAACACTGGCAGAATAGATTAAGCCCGAATAACCTGTCACAGAAAAATAAGAATCTAGCGGTGATTTGTCCACCCGGGGGCACTCTGATGATCAAGTTAATAAAATATCTCTCAAAGATAACCAATAATGCTTAACTCACTAGATAGAGCATAAAAGACATACCTTAGACCCATTGGGGTGCCTCCATTTTATAGCCAACACAATCCTAGTCCCAATAGAAGCCTAGCTCTAATGGACTTAGGATTACTGCTAATCTTGGACTCCTAGTAGGATTAGGATAAACTCTTTAAGAGGCTTATCTTTATCTAAACTGAAAGTCCTCTCTCATTCTAGGACTCTTGTCCCTTATCTGCTTATCCCGGATTTTGGTTTCTTCACAGATAACCTCGGCCTAGCCGAGATTATCTCGGCATCATGACCAGGACACGTGACACCTCGGCTGACACTTCGGTGTCACCTCGGCCACGTGTTGTCATTCAAAAATTATGCCCCCACAACTGCCCCCTAGGTTCTATTACCTCGGCATCCTGAGGTGATGGAACCTATATCATTCGTTCCTTTAATCATGACCCCGGTTTAACTTCAGCTTGTAAATTTTTCTTAAAATTTCAACAAGTGTTAAACATGACCTCGGTTTAACTTCAACTTATAAATTTTTAAAATTTCAACAAGTGTTAAACATGACCTCGGTTTAACTTCAACTTGTAAATGTTTAAAATTTCAACAAGTTTTAAACATGCCCTCGGTTTAACTTCAACTTGTAAATTTTTTAAATTTCAACAAGTGTTAAACATGTCCTCGGTTTAACTTCAACTTGTAAATTTTTAAAATTTCAACAAGTGTTAAACATGACCTCGGTTTAACTTCAACTTGTAAATTTTTCACAAATTTCAACAAGTGTAAAACGTAACCTCAGTTCATCTTCAACTTGTAAATTTTTCACAAATTTTAACAAGTGTTAAACATAACCTCGGTTTAACTTTAACTTGTAAATTTTTCAAAAATTTCAACAAGTGTTAAACATGACATCGGTTTAACTTCAACTTGTAAATCTTTCACAAATTTCAGCAAATGTTAATCATAACCTCGGTTTAACTTCAACTTGTAAATTTTTCACGAATTTCAACAAGTGTTAAACGTGACCTCGGTTTAACTTCAACTTGTAAATTTTTCACGAATTTCAACAAGTGTTAAACATGACCTCGGTTTAACTTCAGCTTGTAAATTTTTCACAAATTTCAGCAAGGGTTAATCATAACCTCGGTTTAACTTCAACTTGTAAATTTTTCACAAATTTCAGCAAGGGTTAATCATAACCTCGGTTTAACTTCAACTTGTAAATTTTTCACAAATTTCAACAAGCGTGAAACCTGACCTTGGTTTAACTTCAACTTGTAAATTTTTCACGAATTTCAACAAGTGTTAAACATGACCTTGGTTTAACTTCAACTTGTAAATTTTTCACAAATTTCAACAAGTGTCAAACAAACCTCGGTTAAGCTTCAACTTGTAAATTTTTCACAAATTCAACAAGCGTTAAACTAATTTTAGCTTGTAATTTCTACTTTTCCAGGAACCATTTTCCAATTCTCTATCCCCTAATGTGAACTTAAGTTCCACTTGGGTTTTCATTGTGCATGTATTCTAGAAACATCGTCAAGTATCTTATTAGTCACAAGTGTAAAAAATCAAGCTAAAACTTTATTTATTATTTCGGTTAATAACAAAGAACAAACAAGTCTAATGATAGAAAAATTTCAAATTGCAAGTATTTCAGGGCCTTGACAACTCTTTACCTTCATTATCTTCAAGCCGATATGCCCCATTGCCCAATACCGAGATGATTCTATAGGGTCCCTCCCATTTTGGGCCAAACTTGCCCTCTCTGGGATCCTTCTTGTTGCCGACGACCTTTCTCAAAACGAGGTCACCGACTTGAAACTCCCTTGGGTTGACCTTCTTATTATAAGCCCTAGCAAGCTGCTGCTGGTATGCCGCCAGCTAAATTGCAGCTTTCTCCCTTATTTCTTCTAGTAGATCCAGATCTCGGGCTAATAATACATCATTAGTCCCATTCTCTACTCCCTGAGTTCTGATCCCTGGGATGCCAATATCTAGTGGGATTACTGCTTCTATGCCATAAGCCATGGCAAATGGGGATTCCTCCGTTGATCTTCTCGGCGTAGTTCGATATGCCCAGAGTACACTGGGCAATTCATCCGCCCACTTTTCCTTTGCTGCTTGCAGCCTCTTCTTTATCCCATCCAAGATAACTTTGTTGGACACTTCTGCTTGTCCATTGCTTTGAGGAAAACTTGGGGTCGAAAAATAATTCTTGATTCTAAATTTTGCACAGAAGTTCTTGATTAGCTTACTGTCAAATTGTGTTCCGTTGTCTGCAACTATTGCCCTTGGGATCCCAAACCTGGTGATGATGTTCTTCCATATGAAGTTCCTCACATCCACGTCTCGGATCTTGGCAAGGGGTTCAGCTTCTATCCACTTGGTGAAGTAATCTATTGCTACCAGCAGGTACTTCCTTTGCCCAGTTGCTTGGGGCAGTTTTCCAACAAGATCCATGCCCCATTGGGAAAAAGGCCAAGGACTGGATACTGGGTTCAGGTCTGCTGCTGGTTGGTGTATCAGTGGTGCAAACCTTTGGCACTTTTCATACTTCTTGACATAGGCTTCTGCATCTTTCTGCATGTAGGGGCACCAATACCCTTGGGTAATGGCCCTATGAGCAAGTGATCTGCCCCCAGCGTGGCTTCCACATACTCCTTCATGTATTTTGTACAAAAAATCTTCAACTTGTGAAGGATGTACACACCTTAAAAGGGGTCCAGTGAAGGATCTTCTGTAGAGATGTCCCTCTACTGTCAGACTGAATCTTGCTGACTTCAATCTAATCTTGTGTGCCTCTTTGTAATCATCTAGCAGTTTTCCTTCTTTTAGGAATGCTACTATTGCATCTATCCAGCTTGGTCCCATGTCCACACATATTGCTTCACACTCTGTGGTCAGTGGTTCAATGCTCGGGCCCGACAAGTAGTCAACCATTATCGTCCTTGCCTTTCTAGGTTGTATTGCACTAGCCAGGTTGGCCAGGGCATCAACGTGACTGTTATCATCTCGGCTAACCTGTTGTAATCGGCAATTCTGAAACAAGGCCACCAACCTGTTGACCTCCTTTGCGTAGGCCGACATCCTTTTATCTCGGGCTACAAACTTGCCCGTTGTCTGGTTGACTATAAGCTGGGAGTCATAGAAGACTATCACCTCATCTGCTTCTACTGCTACTACCAGTTTCAGTCCTGCAATCATTGTTTCATACTCTGCTTCATTGTTTGAGACCATGAACCCCAAACGAATGGATTGTTCTAGTATCCGTCCATCTGGAGATACCAATACTACTCCTGTCCCCAATCCTTGTCGGTTTGAGCTCTCATCAACGAACAGTCGAAAGGCGTCGCCGATGTAAATGCTGCAGGGCCTAAGTTTTTCTTCCTTCCTTTGTTCTGTTGCCCTCGACTGGGCTCCTCTTTGCTCACTAGGACATCATTCACCTTGGCTCAATGGAGCCCGATGTACGATGGATCCTGGCGTGAACTCGGCCATAAAGTCAGCCAAAACTTGGCCATTGATTGCGATTCTGGGTCTGTATTCCAGGTCATACTGGCCCAAGGCTACTGCCCACCTGGCTATTCTGCCAGCCAAATCTCCCTGGTGCAATAGGGACTTCAAAGGAAGTTCAGTTAGCACCATAATTTTTTGGGCTTGAAAGTAATGGTTCAGCTTCTTTGAAGCCATTACTAAGGCTAGTGTTAACTTCTCCAAGGGTAAATACCTGGTTT